GTTTTAGGTTAGTTACGTGTAGGTAGTACGTTAAAAACCGTTAAACGTAAGTACGTTCGTTCGTGGTCGTGTAGTTAACGTTAACGTTAGTAGTAGAAGTACGAGACTACTATATATATATATATATATATATATATATGTGTGTGTGTGTGTGTGTGTGTGTGTGTGTGTGTGTGTGTGGAAAAGTTTATGTAAGGTTGACATCTTATATTGTAGAATTAAAGTGCACCTCAAAAATCCATTGAAAAATGCTGTTTTGACGTTGGAAAACCATTTAATTGATCATCTCAAAATCAAGTTGTATGGATATGGGAAAAAAAACAGATTTAAAGTCTAAAAAATTGTACATCTTGCAACACACTATTTGGACCATCCATTTTTAAAATTTTCTTGTGTTCATAGATCTACTTGATTTGAACCATTTTTAGAGTTTGAAATTTTATAATTAGAGATAAAAATAGATTCTTGGCCCATCCTAAGAATTTCAACACCAAAAGTGCATCTTATGAGAAAGTTTGAAGGGGTACCTTTGACTATTTAAGGTTGCATCCGTATGCAAACCTATATATATAGCCTTTCTTACTTAAAGTTTACTAATGTAAAGTCATACTAATGTCTGGAATGCCACACACATTTCGAAGGCTGACTATTAGTTTATGGTGGGTCCTCATAAACCCATAATTGGGTAATAGGCTGCGTGGCTATCAATATGAACTAAACTTTGCCAGGGTATTTTTATTTTATTTTATTTTATCTATCTTGACCACCCTGCTAATTCCTCTTGCAACATTTTCTCATCTAGGATGGGGCTGGTTGTCCAACAATTCAGGGGTCTGCTGCTGGCTTTTTTATCTTTGCAGGTTGCTTATGTCTCCTTATGATAAAAATGCAGGAGACTATTTCCATGACCAATGTAGTTTAGAGTATTGCACCCTGTCTCATAGTTACAATGTCATAATGTTGCTTCACCACTCCTACATGGACTCGTACTTGATGGCATATTTTGCCTTCTCTAAAATTTATTGCACAGCTCTAGGGCGGCCCAACCGGTTTTGTTCCAAAGCCAAATCATGTTTTCCATATCGAATTCTCCTGGTCATCTTCACTCCCATTTTGAAGGACACGTTGCTGTCTGTCTTCTGAGCCACTAAATAATTTGAAACTTCCATAGGTGACACAGGAGAATTTCATAAAGTCGTAGATTTGTGGCCCCCATGGTGCAACTACAATATAGATGGTTAATAAAAGACAACTATCTTTGGATAACAATGTACCCCTCATTTATATATGAATTCATACAAGTAGCTAAGGTAAATGCAACAAGTATTCTACATGAACAGCCTAATCTAACTGCTTTTGAAACACAAGATTCCTGCTTGGCATCTTCCATATTAGTCTTTTAATGTCTAAGCATAATCAAAACTATGAAATACAACAATGTAGTGCTACAAAGTACAAAACTTTCTACAAGCAAGCAAAATCATATATCTTTTGTATGCTTATACAATGTTGAAAATGAATGAGCTTTCTGTAATTTGTTGTGTTTGTACCTGACAATTGATTGGGATTTTATCATTCATTCCCTTCTTCACAGGCTTCTTTGAGAGAAATGCAAAGTCAACTGGCAAATCGACGGGGTGAACATGATCATACTGCTCAACAATCCGTGACCTTGAATATTCACAATCCACATGTGATTTCATTTATCATTTATTGTCCCTCCTTATTACTGATGTTACTTAAATTGTTCTTCCTCATTTCTTTACTATTCTTGTAGGTTTCAAGTGCATCTGTTTCAAGCCTTCAACAAGTATATGATCATGAGCATTTACTAGCACCGGCTTTCCCTGCTATTCCTAGCCTGGTGACCCGTAAGAATGAACAGGTCATGGTACCAAGCTTTGGAGTGCCGCATTTGATGATCAATGACAATATTGTGGAGCATCCCTTTCCTAATTTTAAGTTAGTATAAAATTTTTCAGTGAGTACTCTCTTAAATTTTTATATGTTGTGCTCATCAACATAGCTGTTAATTTGTAAATGCGACACTGGTTACATACATAGAATATTACCTCTTGATTTCTCAAGGTCCATCCGCATAAGTGTATTAGGCAACAAATTTATGATGTTACTTCAGATTCCTTGACGTGACGAATTATCTTTGTATCGCTTCTGTATCTTTCTTCTCTCTTTCGCTTCCTTTTCTTTTATGATATGGTTGCTGAAGCACAATTTTAAAGTCCTTAAAATATTTCATGGAGATATGCAAAAGGAATGAGATGTATACTTAAAATATTTCATGGAGATATGCAAAAGGAATGAGATGTATAAGAAATGTGTGCCAGAGTTTGCACATTTTAGAGAAGTGTGCAGAGCTCACTTTACATATCCCTTAAAAGTAGTGAAACAACCAGAATGAATTTCTGGTTAATATGGTATGGTGTATTTCCTGTCACACTATGAAAACTAATTGGAAGTTATTAAGGAAGGCCTAGTTAATAGAAGAAAATAAAGAGCTATGTGCCTTTCTTGTTATTATTAATTAAGTGTTTATCCTCATACCGTGGAAAATATTTTGCTTCTATGTTAATTCTTTACCAAATGCAACTTTCCATCCTTCACTGTTGGTCTTCCTTTGTGAGTTGCAGAATGTTTGTTATGGATAATATTTGGTTCTATTTATTACTTTTCACTATTTCTCATTTATTCTTGGAAGGATATTCATACCCTAAGAAAGACCTTCTAGCCCATGCTTATTTGTAATTTTCTATATTTGTTGGATAATTGTGTTGTAACTTCTCATATCTATCTATCCGTCTACACACACACACACACACACACACACACACACACATATATAGCTCTTGATGTATAAAAATGCACGCCCCCACCCCAAAAGGAAATGAGGTTAGGTTGGGGGCATTTGTTTAACCCCAGTTTTTGCACGCACATTCTGTTGACCCTAGCAAACGCACCCATGAAACGAAACCCAAAAAAATGTTTTTTTAAGGAGATAGATAATTGGATTAACATCAGCCTCTTGTTTTGGTGCACTGATAAAAGGTTAGAAGTGCTCAGAAATCTCTTTTTCATTTTTTTTTTGTTTTAAGTTCATCTAGTGTTTTAATGACCATCCCCAAATCCTGGTGTGAAGCAAATCATGTTTTGGACAGTTACAAGTGGTGTATGAGAAAATGGGTTATTGCTTTCTGCAAGGCTCTCTCCCTCTCCCTCTCT